GTCACCAGCAGGCCGGGGTCCTCCTGAGAGACTTGCAAAAGTTGCGGATGATGCTCCACAACCGCTCCTCAAACTTGCCCGCCGTCCCGCGGACCTGTGGCACAGGAGAGGTTGGACAAGAGTAGGGTCAGAGGAGGTTAAAGTCACATCTCAGCATAGGTGCCAATGACCCCTCAAGCCACAGCCGCCCCTCCTCCCGTGGTTGTGTCCTCGCCTTTTGGAAATACGAGTTGAGATTTGTGGCTTCCTGCAGGTTGACATTGGTGCCGCTCTCCAAGGCCTGCTGTGCCTTCATGCTCGTCCCCTCCAGGCTGGCCAGCATCTCATACACCTGTTTATTGGGGAGGGTGCTGGCGTGAAAGCAGCCATAGCCTGGAAAGACTACTGCCGCAAAGCCAAACCCACAGCTGGGGAGGCAGGCAGCCAGAGCCGGCAGCAGCCTCACATGCAGTAGGTTGGCATTGTCCCTCAGCATCTCCTCCGCCTCTGCAGCCTCTACCGGCAGCGCTGCAATGTTCTCCACGTCCTGCAGCCAAGCGGGGGCACGTGGGTGCGGGGTTCCGTGCCAGCAGCAGCGCCAGCATGCTGCTTCTCCATTGGTGCCTCTGCTGCTGCCGCAGCACACCTGAAGCGTCTTGCGCAGGTTGTAGTGCACCTCACTCAGCACTGCAATCTTGTCGTGGCAGTCGATTAGGCTCTGGCACTCAGCGCACAATGCGGTGATTTCTTCAAAGTGCTCCCGCATCAGCACCAGGGCCTGCGGGGCGCAGCACAGCACAGGCATCGGGGGCATCTTGAACACGTGGCCGTGCTGCCGAGAAGTGCCATGGGAGTGCATGGTGGCATCCCCACCTGGTGCGCACGGGTCAGCATGTCCAGCCCCGACTTCGTAGCCTCCACCTGTGATGAAACTGCCGCGCTCAGCTGTGCCTTGTGTTGAGCTGTGACAATGCCACGTGTCCAGTCTACACATCCGCTGCACTGATACCCTCATTCCCGCCTTTCCCGCCCCAGACACCGCACAATTGTGTTTCCCCACCCCATTCCCAGTTGATCGACACTTGTGCCACTCCCTTTCGTGCACCTGACCCAGCCATTATGCTCACCGATACCATGATGCCTTTGTGCCGCATCGTACCCGCATCGTATCAGGAATATCCCAAGTATATGCCGGGAATATGCTCCTCCACCCCAGATCTATTTAACGCCGCCTCTAGTGCGAATTTACTACTCTTGCTGCCTTTGTAAATACCTCCCGTCAACAGGTTATGGGCCCCAGTCCCCTCCGCTGCCCTTGAGTCCGGCACCCGCTCTTGCCGTCACCCCAGACGCCCTTCCCGCGCACCGGTACCTTGCGCCCCACGCCACGGCCCTTGCGCCCCGCCCCAAAGACCAAAGACCAACCCTAAGCGCCGCCTGCGCCTGGCTTTGCTTGCACAACAGCCTTTGCTTGCACAACAGCCTT